TTTATCATTAATAAAAATTAAATTTAACTGTTTGTTGATCAAAAAATAACTTCAAAAATTATAAAAAATGATCAATAAAAATTTTCCTAGTCCTTTTTAGTATTTTTGAGTCCTTTACTTTAAAATTTTTATCTTTTTTTATAATTTTTGAATTTTTTTTATTTTTTAATCAACTAACAACTAATAAATAGAGCATAAACAGTTGCATTAGAAAACCAACCACGATGGTAAAGAAGATATAATCTTTCTATATTTCAATCAAAGGGTAAGAGAAAAGTAAAACAAAGGGTACATAATTTTAGGGGGAAAAAAGAACACAAAATCCAATATCTTTTTCGGTAAGCGCAAGATCAAGGAATAAACTTTGCCGCAATAATCATTATCTTTCATGGTGTCTTGAGAAGAATATGCTCTTTTTAACTGAACTACTGTGCATATATGAGTTGAAATCTGAACTTCCAATCACTTATTTAAATAACAAGAATTCCAACTGTTCATAACAACTTGAATTAATAAAATCCTGTATTAATCATTGTTTATATTTATTTTTTTAAGACTTGATCTAACAAAATGTTGGCAGCCTTGTAGGAATTATGTCAACAGTTGTCCATGCATTAATATTTCCATACATACAACCTTTCCAAAAAGCAACCCTACTCCAACAAAAATCAAGTCAAGCATCTAGAATTATAAAGCCACATGTGACCATCAAAGTTTCCCTTTACCCCAAAATGTTTTGTAGAAACATAAAGATATTATTTTACATATGAAAAGGAGGGAAATCCAATGGAATCAAAAATCACTAGGAAATCGCATCCCATTAATCCTTGCTTGAAGCTACTGCAATCTCAAACTTTCTCATGATAGTAGCAGCATAGGTGCCAACACTAAAATTGGCATCAGCCTGCTGTGTTGCTTGAATTGGATGTTGTGTGGGAAGATGATGACCACTATCCATCAGATACTAAAAAGGATTAATCAAAGATTCTGGGACTCCCATTGAACCCTCCAATATTTTTATTACAACACTCATAAGAGATCTTGATTCAGACCTATACTGACCTTACCATTCTTTCTGCTCTCTCTTTATCTTGCTCCTCTATCCCACAATCCATTGTCATCAACTTTTTTAGTTCTTTGCAATCAAATCTTTTCCAAAGCCACATCGGAAACCATTCTTGACTTTTCTGGAATGTTGCTATCAAGATTTCTTCTTTTGCCAATGATTTCCAACAACATTCCAAAGCAGTATACATCACACTTGTGAGTTGTAGGAAATGGCATGTAAAGCTCTGGTGCAGTATATCCAGGAGTTCCTCTACATCTAGTCATGCTAATATGAGTTTTTTTTTTTTCCTCTTACAAAGCTTAGCCAAACCAAAGCCAGAAACTTTAGGATAGAAATTATTGTCCAAAAGGATGTTTCCTAGTTTTATGTCGTAATGGATTATTCTTTGTTGGCACTCTTCATGCATATATGCAATGCCTTTGGCTATTCCAACAGCAACCTCATGAAACTTTTCAAAATTTAAGGTATCGTTTTCATGAAATAGATACTTAACAAAAGAACCATTACTCATGTATTCAAAACCTAGAGATCTCATATCCCTTTCAATGCAGAATCCAAAGAGGCGAACGAGATTTAAATGTAAGTTTGCCAATTGTACCCACTTCTGCCATGAACTGTTCCTCTATTTGGTGATCCGAAGTGTCATTTAGAACCTTCACAGCCACGGTAGTTCCATCACTGAAGGTTCCTTTATAGACTGATCCGAAACCTCCTAAGTCCAACATGTTGGAGTAGTTGTCTGTTGCTTGCATTAGATGTTATGAGGTGAATCTGATTGGCTTTTCTCTTTCCATATCATTCAGAAACCTATCCATCGTGTATGTTAGAAACTGGGTGTCCGAAGTAACTGGTTTCACAGGATTGCTTTTTCTTCTGCCAATACATTTTCTGGGTATAATTACTGCTACTGCTATTTTCAGAGCAACCACAACTGCAATAGAAGAACAAGAAGACTTGCGCTGGCAAGAAGTTGAAATAAGGTAACTTACTATAGTTTGTTGACAAAAAAACAAAAAATCAAATTGATTATCGTCAAAACAATCCACTTGATTGAATTGTATATATGCATAATAAGCTAGTTAACTAAAGCATTGATTTTTGTTATCATTAAACCTTTACAGTCCCAAGGGATATCAGAAAATATAATCTGGCTTAAATTAACCATAAAGAACTTTGCTTGGGCCAAAAAATACATAGATATAAACATGAACAACTGCATTAGAGTTCTCAGCCTCTATGCTGATTCGGCAACTATAATCTTTCTGGGTTTTCAGTCAAGTGGAAATGCATCAATAGTCATAACCTACAGAACCCAAAAACATGACACAAATTTTGGATGACTTGAGGTTTGCTTATAAAGATACAAGAAACCGTTGGAAAATTCAGACTTTGCCTCTGGAGCTGGAAAAATTAAGGACTATTGTAAGTTGATGTGAGTAGTAGCGAATGCTGTCTCTTAACTAAATGATTAAATGTTTAATACTCAATATTTATGTATGAAGCAAACTTAATCAGAGCGAATCTATCATTTGCTCTCAGTACTCCGGCAAAAATTAATATCTACTAATCTACTATCATCAAGAGATAATCAATATCGTGTCCCACCCGAAATAAATAAAATGAAAAGACTAACATAACAATTCAACCCCAAACATGCAGAAATAAGAGCTCTAAATCATACGGAGGATGAAGGTGAGGCTGACGATGAGGATTCCCTTTGCTTCTCCGAGTACATGTTCTTCGTTCATAGCTGACGTAGATGAGGAGATGAGCAATAAAAAGAATTAGCGTGAACAAGTCATTGAAAAAGAGGTCAAATGCAGTATAATATTTATATATGCAAATCTTGGAGCTGATTCCATATGGAATATCTGGTGAACAATCTTAAGTTCCCAATTGGAAGAATGGTCCTTGTTTTTTGGACGCATTTGAGTAATTGAAGATTAATCCAAGAGAGACTTTGATTAGTCCGGTTAAACATGGCTTTCTAAGGATTAGTGAAATATTTCAGACCCAAAACAAATAATTCCAAATTAAATGTGAGTTAGTTATAGAGACGATGGGGGAAAAATAAAGAAACAGAGGAATGAAGTTCACACGTTCATGTTTTATATCATTTTCTTTCTAATTGTATGGTTTGCCGACTGTGTAAATTTTATCAAGTATGTCTGCATATTTCTTTCATCCAGATTAAGTGGATTTCTAAAATTTTAAAGTTCGTTTAAATTTAGAAAAGAGACGAGAGAAACTAAATAGAATAATCCAAGCCTATACTTTGATTTTTTTTCTTTTTTTTTTCCTTTTTTGTGGGGGGTATTTACCCTCTAAACAATGCATTTCACAGCTATTTGTTTGATTCATCTGTCATTAGATTCCCTACTGTTTGAGGAAACAGTACACAAAACCTTGTTCCAACTCAAGGCCACACAATGAATAGACAAGAGAGGACTTCGGCTTAAGCTGAAATCCAGTTTCTTTTATAAAAATAATTGTATTAGACAACTTGTAATGTGGTCTAATTCAGGCTTAATTTAAAGTTGAACGAGACCAAACTTAATCTATAGGATTACAAAATTGGTTTTGATAGCTCAATATTTCACTTTACTTTTTTTGCCTTTTTTCCTCTATGAGGCAATAATTTATTATAACTTAATAAACTCAATTAAAATAACAAAAATATTTATAAGCATATAAAGTTTATCACAAAATATTAAAGGCTAATTATAATAAAATCATAACAATCTCCAACAAGAACAAAAAGCATTTAAGGTAAAATTCAAATGATTCAAATTTGTAATAACATTCTAACAAACTTCAAAATTCATGACTTCACAAGGATAAAACACAAATAATGATGATGATGATGATGAAGCAACATCCAAGGAAATAGTATATGACCATTTCAAAATAAGTATCCAGTATCCAAAATTCCAAATCACAAGTTCAGACAATATCCAGAACCATGAATTCTATAAGCAACGCACATTTAGAAGCTCAAAAGGTTCAATCTTCAACAATTGATAGATTTCTCATATTGACACTTAAATACAAGGTTTGTTCTATCCTTATTGATATGAAGTATGTGGGCTCCTTGAACATCACATTATAATTATCATTATATTAAAAATAATTATAATTATAATCTTGTTAAAATAATTTATAGAATTGGACTGAACTAAGTAGTTTAAAAGTTCAATCCCTTGTTTAGTTTAACTCAAAAATGAAGTTCAATCTCATTAATTTTTTTAATCCTTCAGGACAATTTTTTTTCAAGACCGGACTGGACTTAATTTGTACAAGTTGAACTATATTGTATAGAATTAAAAAACTTTTACACAACCCTATATAAAGCAATCACTATCAATGCTCCCTCCCCTAAGACAATTTTAGTGGGTGTGGTGCTTTTATACTCACTTTAATCTTTATTATGAAGTACCTTCAAGAAAGATTTTTTAATCATTAATATAACACACATAAATTTAATTATTACCATTTTCTAATTTTACTCTATCATAAATTTAATTTAGTTATCATATATCTTGTCCATGTATCTCTCTCTTCATAATTTTAATAGGAATAAAATTGAATTTTAAGACATATTAATATTAGTTCTAGTAAAGTAATAATAAGTGCCTTATAAGAGGAAATAAAAGAAGCATATAAAACAATTTTCGCATCTTTAGAAGTAATTAATATTTTTAAAAAATGCCTCTAACGAATTAATAAAAAAATTTCACCTTACCACATAGAGTTAAGAAAAATGATGAGTATTAATTAAGGACGTGAGTGAAAAGAGCAAGCAGATTTTTAACTTTTGTTATTATTATTATTTTTTAACCAACTAGCAAGGAAATTGAAACCTGACAGGCCTAAGGGGGCCGAAGATTCATTTATGCATGCCTGAATTAAACATTTGAAAACTTGGCCACCATGACAAAGCAACTATAACCTTTTTAGTTTTCAATAAAGTGCAAATCCATCAACAAATCTAAGTCCAGAACCCAAAAACATGGCACAAACAAGGAAGGAGGGGGGGGGCAAAAAATTGACCTAGGTTACAACTTGATTATAAAATTACAAAATCCCACCGTCTAGAATAATATATAACTTGATAACAAAATTACAGGATCCAACTAACTGCAATAATCAACCTTGGCCGCTGGAGTTGGGAAAGAGCCCTCGATTTCAACCATGACATCTATGGACGATGAAGGTCAAAGAACCATTTGACATACCAAATTTAATTGCTCCAGTCCGCACGTATAAAGGAATATACTCAAAACGGGTGTTCATATACCTCATTTCTGATAAACCCTGCATGCCAATTCCAATTCTCAACAATTCAAGAAAATTTCTAAAACATTTCAAGAGATGCAAATATGGCAAATTAAGGAAATTACCAGCCCAATATGCTTTAAACATTCTGTACTTTGCTTGATATTTCCTTCATTTTAATATCTCCTTGTTCCTGAATCAAAGTAAGATGCACAATATATTAAATTATTAATTGCTGAGTGGGATCGAGTCCGTGAGGCCAAATCACATTAATATTCAGGTCCTCTAGCCTACAAGCATATAACAATAACAATAACAATAAGTCTTATCCCACTAAATTGTACAATGCCTTTGTGCCCTATCAACAACCAAACTTTTGGATATATTGTTAACTCAAATGTCTCGTTCAACAAGTCCTCTAAGTCTTATAACCTCCATGCGTAATGATATGAAATTCCCATTGGACAGCTGATTCAAAGCAGGATGCAAGATCTCATGAAATGTTTTGGTCAGGGTACCCCCCCCCCCCCCCCCGCCTTTTCTCTCCCCAAGAACTTAATCCCCTCTAGTCCATTTCTTTTTCAACAAAAGGCAAACCCCATCTTTTTTGAGAAAGAGACTCTCCCTCTTTTGTCGTTCTTAAACATGAAATTACCATAAAGACTAACAGCATTCGTTATTCCTTGTAATGGTAATGGAATTTAAAACTAGTTATGAACCCTATGACCATAGATTTCCTATAAAACCAAATTGCAGGGCATCCTAGCAAACCTCCATTTTGCATAAAATATACATATATAAATTGTCAGATATGATATAGGGAAAATGATGGAACAGTCATCTTTACAAAATTCCACCCAAAAGAAAAAAAGAAAAAAAATCCTTTATGGCCCCAGATATTTTCAACTCTTTTCCACAACATGGCGTGAGTATTTCCAGTAACCAAATTTCTAAAGTAGTGTTGAACTCAGCCAACCCATAGTGGATGCAAGACGCATAGGGAAAGAGACAGTGACTAACGTAGAATACTGCAAGTTTTTAAACCTTGACAATGTTGCTCTTTTTAAGAATATATTCATCCTTGTACTTAGTGTTGTGCAAGTCAAGTCACAAAACTCAGTTGCACCCTTGAGCGAGGGAAGCTATGTCATAAACATGACAATTCAGAAAATGTGTTCACATCATCTAGGAGAGAATTTCTTGTTGACAATGAAGTTCTTTAAATAGAAAAATCCTAAAAAAGAGAAGACTTATCCACTTTGCTATAAAGGAGGTCGACCTTCCAGATCATCATCATAATTTAGCATATGCAACACTATACTGCTGCATCTTGATTTGGAAGATGTATTCGCTATTTCTTTCAAAGACAAATAAGTTAGGCAACAAGTTCGCAAGGGAAACCATAAAAAGTTAAGGGTATGAGAGATCACAATGCTGAGAAGCACCCAGAGAAGGGGGATAAAACCTCCTCAACAGTCTTGTCAAAAGAAAAAAGAAAAAAAAATGAGGGAACCGGTGGTATACAATTCATAGGCAGTCAAGTCGCTTTTCCTTTTCAATACCTCTTTTTTTCATCAAACGAAACACAACATTAGGTTGTTTGTATAGCTTCTGAAATGAGATTGCACAACTTCTCAAAACTTGAGAGTCTGGACTCATTACATACAGCATATCGAATACATTTGATTCCAAAATTTCATAAACCAGAGGGAAGCACATAAATACGAAGTAATGGAACCATACAAGAAATTAGAGGGGCCCAATGAGCAGAGCCCGTGTAAAAAAAAAAAAAATACTGGATGAAACATTATTTGTTAAAAAGAACATATGCATAAGAAAGAGACATATCAAAACACTTGTACATAAGGAACCAAATCAAAACAAATTAATGAAACCATAAGAAAATTAGAGGCCCCCATGAGGAGATGCAAAACTCGTGTAGGAAAGGTATTTAATGCGACAGCATTTAAAAACACACACACACACACACACATGCAAGATATCCACATCAGCACATATGCAAAAAAACCAAAGGGAACCACATGAAAACAAGTTAATCAAACTATAAGAGTATCCAATTTCCAGATGCATATAAAACTAGCTGTATGAAAGAATTAGCATCAATTAATTGCTTACCACTCCCTTGCTTTCATAATAATCATCAAGTGCCCATTGGTACTTTGACTGATCCAACCCAAACCACCGTGCTAAATGATCATCCAAACTTGAGTGTGCTGTACAAGGAAAAGTTAACGAGTTTACTTACCCAGAATAGACAAGAGGATTACGCAAAAACCTGAATAAAAGATTTATTTCCCAGTATTTTCTTAAATAAAAATGAGAAAGCTAACCTAATTGAACAGATTACATGAGGATCCACAACACCGGATATAGAAAATAGAAAGTACCCGCCACTACGTTAACCAGCATCAGGAAAAAAGTAGAACGCCAAAACCTTGACATACCTTATCTATATGTCTGTGTCCATTTTTCACAACTATATTATCTTCTCAAAAAATAGAAGGGTACCTATAAAGTTATAATACATCCTACTAAAATTCTCCAAACCTAGTCATTCAATAACTTGGAAAGACCACAAGAACAACCCAACAATCAGCTCATGCGTGACCTTTTTTACTGTCAGCAACTACAAGAGCATTAAAAATATCTCAGTAAACTGGAACAAAAACTAAAAAAATAAATGCCTTGTGACGGAAAGATCAATCTACACGCATTTTTCCCTTTCACGGACCAACAGGCATCCCACTAACCAAAATTCAGATCCATCAGGTTACGAGTGTCAGACTCTTAAATATTTTAAATGCATCGACCGACTAAGACGGCTTTACTTGATTATCTTCTATTTTCCATCTGTGAGTCTCTTTCCCAACAATTTTGCCTGCATTTCATTTTCTTTCCACATCGACAACGATCAAAGTAACAGAAAGGCCAAAGCATTGCTCAAAATGTTCTACTCACCAGTTTGCACCCTCGTTACAGCATTCTTGAAAAACCCCAGAACAGACCCATCTGCTACAGAATTCGCAGAGACGGACTTCTCCAACTGAACAGGCGGAGGCTGAACCGGCGGAGGCACAATCTTCTTCGGCGAGTCCAAAACGGCGTCGGAGGGCTTCGGGGTAGAAGGTGGCGTCACGAAAACAGTGTAAGGGCCAATTTTGCCGATCACAGGCGGAGGAGTGGATTCTCTGTTGATAGCCATTGAAGTGAAATTGAAAGAAATGTGAGAAAAAGATTGAAAACTTCTAAGAAAATGGCTCCGACAGAGAAAGAGTAAGCGGGAGAGGGAGGGACTGGATGGGGCTTCAGTGGGTAGCTGCAAAAGCGAGCTCGGAAGTGAACACTGAACTGCACAATGCACGCAGCTCAACTACGCAGGAAGTCGCGAGATCTTTGTCTTTCTAAGTACTTTAATTTAATTTTAATTTTAATGTTCATTATTTTTTAGAACTCAAAAAATAAGAATGAAAATTTGAAGGCAATAATTAACGCCCCTGCTGTCATTTTCATTTTCTCGTGCTTAATTTCTTATATTCTTCAAGCACGGAAACGATGAATGCCCGCGTCCAGTGAATTTATCATTAAAAGGTCGCGTCTCATTTATTTATTTTTATTTATTTAAAAATAAAAAAATTGATTATTTGATTTTTAAAATTTTAATTTAATTATAACTCAATTTTTAAACTTTTAACTCATTATATCTTGATTTTTTTAGTTTTAACTCAATTATAATTCAATCCTTGAATTTTGACTTTTATAACTCAATTCTTATAATTTTAACTATTTAAAATATTAGTCCTTATATTTTAAAAAATAAAATTATAAAGATTAAAATTATGTTAAAATTTAAAACTCATATTTTAAATTAATAAATCCTTTTAATTTTTATAAAGATTATAAGGATTAAATAAGAATTAATATTTTAAATGGTTAAAATTATAGAGATTGAGTTACAAGAATTAAAGTTTAGGATTGAATTACAACCAAATTAAAATTATAAGGATAAAATTACAATAAGTTAATATTTAGAAATTGAATTATAATTGGGCTAAAATTATAAAAATTAAATGATTAATTTTTAAAAAAAATCAATGGATAATCATATCCATTTAGTCGGCAAAAAAAAAAAATCATGTCCATTTTAACTTTTCTAAGAATTGGTACTCTTTCTAATTTTTCTTTCCTTCAATAACAATTATCGTTTTAATTGAATTATTTTTATTTTTTATAGTTTTTTTTGTCCAATTAAATCAACATAAAATAAATAATATATAAAAAAATTACATGATTTAATTGAAAACAAATACTTTAAAGGTATAAGATTAACTGATTAAGTATATAATTTTTTTTATTTTCAAAATATTCTTTTTTTTAATATTTTTTGTTAAATTTTAGCAAATATTAACACTTTAAACTAGTAAAATGTAGAGTTAGAGACATGGGAGTGATTTGCAAACATGACCCTACCAATGACGCCAGTGTTAGATTGCAAGCTTTTGATTTTGAATTTTGTGAATTCAATAATCTTATTGAATAACTTCCCACAAACTAGAAAGTAGAAACCGTCACTCAAATTAAAATTGTAGTTATTAATCTATACTTGGAGTGAACTATAGAACCTAATGGAAACGGGTTTTAGCAACTTTTAAGAAAAAAGTAGCCTCACGTTACTTTGGAATCATAATCAATGAGCATCCAACAAGACACTACCACGTCAGATGCACCACAAAACTGCACAATAGAAACATCAAGAATGTTGCCTCCCATAACAAGATTTACCTATTAAAAACAATAACAATAATACGTTTGCATAACCCCAGAAAAATAGCAAAACATGATATGGACTCACCACAAATCTTCCACTAGTTTTCTTGTCCCAAAATAGGGGGTCTTTCTATCCACATTCAAACACATTAACAACATAAATACCCAATTTAATGACCTTCCTATGAACATGGACTTCCCCCCTCCAATTCATTGTTCGACTTACAGAATTCCACCTATACAACAACACAGGGAAAGAAGCGAGAACTAACTCTAATGACATATAATATACCCTACTTACTATCAGACACTAACAATGATCTAATTGAGAAGAATATTTCATTGTACGTTCTGACGGGCAACGTCTCACAGAACCCTTGGAAAAAAACAATTAAGGTCTCATGTCACTCGTGACAAGCTCTTCTCCGAGCCAGAACTTAAACATATACATGAAAATGCATTTTTAACACAAGAATACAAACGTTCTGACCAAAGCCTTGCTTGTCCGGAGTTATCAGAACAACCAACACCTATGCCAACAATTGATGCTTGGAATGATTTCACAACTTCTTATCAGCGCATCATGGTATTTCCCTTCACTACAGCATGCAGTTTGTTTATTCACTAGATTTTTAGGTCAAAGAACTGGCCAGAGAAAGCTCATGGAGCTCGCTTAGCATCCATTCCTCTCCAGTCTGACCACCCAGTACGATAGCTCTTGTCCCTCCAACAACACAAGTACTATGTCCCCAAGCAAATCTTGGAGGGTGCCCTGGCACATTTAAAATTCTCCAAGTAGGCTTCTCATCAGTTGGGTCCAGGATGTAGAGCTGTGAGGCAGAATGAAGACCTGCAACAGACCCTCCAAATATCAGAATTCTCCCGCCAGGAAGACTGACCGCCACATGATCAAGTCTAGGTGGAGGAGCTATGCCCCCAGGATTCCCCGATCCAGGCAACCCGCTCCCAGTTACACATCTCCAACATGGCTCCTCCTCACTCAAATCCATTGTGAATACATCACTAGAGCGGAACCGCAAGGGCCCACTCTTGGCCAGACCCCCAAACATCAGTATTTTCCTGCCACCATAAACAGACAGACTGTGGCCCAGACGAGATGGTGGGGTCCATGCAACTGGTATCTCCCTCCAAACAGGTTTCTCCATTGACAGATCGAGCAGGAATGTATCACTCAAAAGCACTCCAGAATCTGCACAGCCACCAGAAACTATCAACTTAGTTCCATCAAGAGTACAAGAGCTATGCCATGATCTAGGAAGTGGGGGTGCCAATCCAGAAATTTCACGCCAAGTGGGAGGCTTTGCATCCAGGTCCAGCACAAACACATCATTGAGCAAGCCCTGCCTTCCACAGCCTCCAAATACAACCAAATGAGAACCATTAACACAAGAAAGTGTATGGCCCCAACGACCAGGGGGAGGAGAGCTCACCTGGACGTGCTGCCACTCAGGATTACTAGAATTGAGATCTAACACAAAGGTGTCATTCATAGGTTGCATGTTAACCCCTTCACCACCAAATAGGACAACTCTATTGCCAGCCGCACAAGCACTAAAATTACAGCGTGAGGGTTCAACAGCACCCCCAACAGTCAACTTTCTCCAAGCTGCAGCTTCAAGAGTTGTCAATTCCCTTGCCAACCTACCCCATCCAAGTCTTCTTGCAGCAGGCACAGTCTCTAAAACACGTGTAGTTTCACTTCCCCATGCATTTTGACATACCATTCTCCAAAGATCTTCATTTCTTGTTAGCTCATACAATCGCCTACAAACAGAGCCAACCGATGCAATATCTCTTGGAGTTAAGCGAGAAAGTATCTTCAGAGACAACACCTCATCACTCAACTGCAATATCCCACAAACTCCACGAGAAACATTACGGTCCCCTGTTGGAAGAGGACGTAATGAGGCAAGGGCAGAAAAAATAAATTGATCAGATGGCTTAGCAGGTTCCTTAATTGTAGAACCTGGGACAGGACCAAGATCAATGTTTTCTTCTGCGAAGAACTGAATTCCAATGACATGTGTTATAGTCTCATCATCCCCATATATAGGTGTCAACCGCAATCTGTTCATCAGTGGAGATCCATCTTTCCTGAAGTTCAGCAACTCACCTTGGAACTCGATCCCCTCCTCAAGGCATCTCCTGATTTCTGAAACTACTGCTGAGTCCACCAATGGATGCCTTCTCTTAGCAAATGGACCTCGATACTGCAAAAAACGGCTGCAATAAAGATTGAAATTATTAAATTATAAAAAATAGTATCTCAAGTCACCAAACAGACACAACAGGGAAAGAATCTATTGATTATTTGCTTGTACAAACATAATAACCTAAGAACTCCAAAATTATAATGCAAATGAACCCCATACCAAGAGTTACAAGCCAGGAACTAATCTGACCTAATAAATTTTGGGAGCATCTAACCACCCCCAGTATTTAACCCTTCTCAGTATGTTTATGAAACAATATGTTAAGAAAAAAATAGCAGGATGATAAGATAGAAAATCAAAATTAATATGAATTACTGTTAAGACATTATATTCTTTATCTTTTAGGGTCCAAACTCAAGGTTTAATCCCTAGTTCCTACAACTACGTGACAAACTAACTCCAATATGTGGATCTATTAATCATTGATATCATGCTTCTTTTTTCTTTTCTTTTTTTTTTTAGGAGGGGGGGAAAAGAAAAATGGATTCTATCATTCTTTATGCTTCTTCTCACATTAGTTATTCAAACAACAAAAAACACAAGGCAAACCTAAATTCAAATACAAAGCACCCATAATTTAATGACAATGTGCATAAAAAGAAGGGAGAATTTCGTTTAGGTCCCGCACAATACAATTAAATAACAAAAGTTCATTGACAACTGAGTATAACAATATGATAACTACTTAGTAGTCATTTTGCTATGCTCAGTTGTCTATGGATCTTAAGATATTTAATTGTGTTGTGTAGGATTAGGGTGAAATTCTCCACACAAAAGAAGAAGAAGAAGAAGGCATTATAAGGCGTATTTTCATAAAGATACGCAAAATGGGGAAGAAAAAAAAAATCAAACTCTATCCAACTAAAGACTTAAACTTGCTTACAAAGATGGAAGAATCTCTACAATAAATACAAAATGCAGATGCACAGTGATGATTGAGATTTAATTCGGAAGGAAGAATACATAACTCTCGCAAAGAATACCAAACAACTTATTCCATAATGAAGTTACGAGGTTGTCATCTTATTAGGAGATATTAGTTGAACTAGCAAAGCTACCACTCTCATTTTCAAAAGATAACCATTTGAGTAACAAGTCCACTATCTCCTGCACATTAACACTCAATGCCATGATTGGTTCTTCAAAAGTAGAGTTTCAGAATTCATTTTAGGTCAAAACTAGTAACCATGTACAGTTAAAAGTTAAAACATATCACCATCATACTCAATTTTCGCCATAATGGATGAGTACCCAAAAAGCAATTAGCCATCGCTAGGTGATCATTATTTTGTACCTTTCCAATACAGCAGATCAGAGGCTTGACACACAATAATTATTGCAAGAACCATTATGATGTGGAATGCATCATTCAATAGAAATCACATACCAAGAAGCCTCTCAAATTGATAGAGCAGATCACACAAAATCAATTTCAGTCTTTGATTTGTATTTTGTTTTAAATCAGCCCCCTACTACATAAGCCACTCATTTTCACTTTACATATTTTCCATTTTTTTGGGTCCACTAGAAATTTTCATCAAATTGATCACCCCAACTTTGACTGAGGGCTGTTAGCCTGTTACACAGACCAGCGTTCAAGAATACCCTGGTGATGCATGTCTTCCTTGTTACCTCACCTTTTCCAATCAACTCCCATTTTCCAGTAGCACTTTAATGAGAGCCTGCCATGATAAAACATCTCCAATATTGATCACTTGAGAATTAATTGTCTATCTCTGGCAGGAACCACCTCTGATAGGGGAAGCAACATAACCAGCTTTGGTCAATTTATTGGATCAGTGATTTTTACATTCCAGTGAGAAAAGGCCTACAATTTGAACTGTACAATCAGGAACAGGGTTATATGAAGGTAGTAGCAAATTTCACAGCACTGATCTTGTCCCATGACATTTCTATCCGAGAAAATACAACCAGTTCACTCTAACCAAATTCACCAAAGAACTCCAAACATTGCACACCTCCATAAAACTTCACCTCTTCACTACAGCAAAAACCCTTTAGAACAAAAAAAGTAGAAATTGCACCCAAGTCTCAAAATATTCTAGACAAATGATATTAAATGGAGGTGTCAATCAAAGCGTTTGAAATACATTGACTGAAGCTTATATATCTAGACAAACACAAATCTAGGAAGAGTTTTAGATGATCTACAAACCTATCTTTAGTATTAATCGGATGATAAAGGAGATAAGGGCTTCCAAAAGGGCAAATCAAGGAACAAGTTCATCCTTCACAACGATTGGGAAGGAGACAAGAAATAAGAGTTAAATATATTTGGCCAGTAGAAACAAGTGTATGGACACTACCCAAAATGAGATGGGGAAAAAACTCACAAAAACACCAAACCAAATAAGTTGTAGTCAACAGATTTCTGCACTCAAATTCCACCAAAACTAAAAGTTTCGCAACAAAATGGCATGTTGGAAAATAAAGAATTTCAGAATGGACCATTAAGTAAGGATAAAAGCCAAAAATCCTTACAGAGATGACTAAGCATGTGGTATGTAATAAAGAAGGAAATGAGAAGTTAGTTGGCATATCTGCTGGGGTAGTTATAGGGTTATAGAGAAATATTGAGCTATAAATAGAAGGCTTGGGTTGATTTGTAGCCAGGGCTTATGAGATTAATGGATTGAGTGTTCTCTCTCTCTATCTCCCTTTCCTCTATTTCCCTGTCTCCTCTGTTTCCCTCTCTTTTCTATCTTTATTCTATATCAGCATACAACCTAGAGTGAACAAAAATGATACAGGGACTTCCTGATTTGATGTCATCGCCTATGAAGATTTATTTAAAGAAGAAGGCATATGTCCAACCACATGCCAGCACAAAAGACAAAGTAGTCATGCCACATGTCCAGCTTCATGTCAGCACTGCAGATGAAGTAGTCAAGCCTCATGATGCTAGCATGCAGATGCAGATTTTAAACAATTCAACTTTTGGAAACTGAGTCGTGAGAATATTGGAGAAACTCAACTTGGTGGGCTGCACATGATTAGTTTTCTGTTTAGCATTATCTTTCATCATCTTTTTGTTGCTAATAAAGTGGGACATTTTATTATATATAGATAGAATTTTGAATTCATCAAATCAAATATTATTTGTTGTAAACAGGAGTTAGTCCACTCCATATGGACACTCTTGGTTGAAATAACATTTTGTGAGAACCTTGAATATATTCTTAATTCAAGTTACTCTCTGCGACTATCATTTCCCCTGCCTCACGCTCCCATATAACAATGAAATTAAAATCTAGGATCACAACTGAAATACAGAAAAATTAACTTCAGGCAGACAACCTGAAATCCACCTTAATCTCCCGTCAAGAATCTTCTCAAGAAAACCACAACTATCTCAGCCCTAAGCCTTCACAAAATCCACTTTAAAGACAAGAACAGTATTCCTTAAAAGTTACATATCATCTCCCTCCTTGACCACAAGGCTAACATCTAAGGTTTTACCACATCCCGTAAAACCACTTTAACTTACAGAAATGGTGTCATCCAAAAGGACCTTAGTAATGATTTCATAAATAGTTATGTGCCTGGTAATCAGGATGACAGGCGTGATTCTTCACTCTGAAAGACCTGTCCATCTTGGACACAAGAATGATGAAAGTAGAGCTCATCCCAACTCAATTCCCCCTAATCCCATAACCATAAGAACTTCTAGAAGACAATTTAAAGAATATCACAAGAAATTTTGAAACAAAGCAGTAGTATAAAAATCACACCAAGAGCGTTCTCCTTTCCCATGCTCAAAACAACTCTCTTAAATAAATCCCCTTCAAAGTTATCACCGGTGGCTTTATCATGAGTAATATGATAACAATTAATGAATAAAGTTAAAAAATTCTCCTGGCTTTGTCAACAAAGTTAACATACTATTTACAAACATTCCCGGACTCATTTATTTCTTTATTGGCTAAAAAGCCCCTAGCAAAAGAACAGAATGTTATTAGATAGTGCTAACCATAGTTGTCAAATCATGATTAATATTGTGAATCAAAAAGCATACTTTTGAATGGCCTGCTGCAGAAGGTACCAAATGACAACTGAAAAGTAACCTCAAATATAAAAATATGAGATATGTATATGCTAGTCATATGCATAAAATACTCGAGTTTGAAAATATAACCTAAGAGTTAAAAACATGCTTAAACATAAGTAATAAAGAAGCCTGTTAGTCATCAATTTGTAAGTAATTATCTCTTGAAATAAAGTCAAGCAATATCCGCCTTTTATTTCCTTATAAGAGGTATATGGACCTTAAAAATAATACAAGTCCATCAACTTACTGTTTGACATGTTTCTAAGGCATGGAATAATGCAATTTTGTCACACTAGGTCGAATTGCATGATTCATAGCCAATTCAAAATTATTTTCAATATAACCATCGATTTATATCATTAGCTTTATGACTCGTGGGAATCACAAAATTCACATTGTGAATTGTACAACCTTGATGACTAAAGTCCTAACTGTGTTTCTTTGATATCACCCAGAACCAATCCAAACTCATCTCTCAGCTCTACAGTTCAAGAAAAGCTCTGCAGTAATTTGAAGCAACATTCTTCCTCATGCATCCAATCCAGCATATGCACAAACACTTCTCAAACATCATCCGATGGAAAGATTAAGAAGCAACAGCTCGACGTTTATAGACACTTCGAGGGGCTAGGGTCCAAGCAAGGATCATTCGGCTGGAAATGCCCAACCTTAACCTAACAAGTGATCTAAACAAAATTGATTTATCATCTCGATACGTCAATCACGAAATTGAAACCATTCCCCAAAAAAATTACACATTTCAAGTCCCGCAAAATGCAGCTAACCGCACTCATTGATCATAAAAAGTAACTAAAACAAAAGAGAGACAATCAAATAAACAAGCAGGACCTCAAAGACTGACCAGTTGCGACCAAGCACTTCCTCTGCCCGATACCCAGTGACCATCTCGAAGACAGTATTGACATATATAATAGGATGGTCCGGCTCGAGTGCGTCGGTGACGACAATCCCACACGGCGCCGTTTGGAGCAAGTTTCCGACGGGGAAGGGAAGAGGGCCAGCATCGTTGAGCATGAAACTGTCATCCTCGTCGCCGCTGATATCGGAATTGCTGTCCCACTCCATGAAGAAGAATGAGAAATCCAGCTCAACCCATGAACAGGAAAAGAAGGAGATAAATAGAAGAATCGGGAAGTGATAGAATGATCAGTGACTTCAGAGGCGAGAAAGAGAGAGTGCGGGAAATGGGAATGAAGAAGAAGGGGTTTTGAGATGTGTGTAGAAACGAGTGGTGGGAATATAGCTAAGAAACAAGAGTGGCTTCTTGAGAGAGAGAGAGGGAGAGATGGTTTACATGTGGACGGTGGGCCGGGAGCACGGTGAACTTTTTTTGGTTGGTTGGATAATCTGAGAACGGGTTACGGTTAGGTTTGTTGGATTCGGACATGTGTGGCAAGGGTTAAAAATACAGGCGAGCTCAATTTTTAAATATCTAACCTTTGTAGGTTCGACCCTTAAGAACTTGAACTCTAAAGCTTTATTTCTCATTCTGAGCCTCATTTCTCAAGCACAACCCTAATGTAAAGGGTTCAGAGTCGAGTTCGCAAGCTCTTTTTAAAAAATAAAAAATTAAAATAAAATTAAACATTATAAATTAATTAAAATATTCTAAAATTAAAAAATTAAAATTCTTATAATTTTTTAAAAATTAAACAATACACATTTAGAAGTCTAGTAATAAAATTTAAATTTTGGTTAAAAAAACAGTTCATTTTTTATAAATACACAAACATAATAATTATAGAAAAATAAAAAGTATTAAAAATTTTATACTATATAGTGATATTTATTAAATTATATTAAATTAATTTTAGAATAAATTAAAATTAATAATAATATAATGCATGTAGTATCAAGTAAGCAAGTCATTAGTTTCAAACATATGTTCCACCAAAATAATAATAATAATAATAATATAATAGGGCTTGAAGGGCGGTCCGAGTCCGAGCCTTTTTTTTACAGAGCTTATCAAGGCCAAGCCCTCAAATCTGATTACTTTTAAAAAAAATTATTTTTAAAACTTAAACTTTTATTTAAACAGAACCTTCAAATCTGGCCCTTATTCCCGACGATAGTAGCACCTCACATGGGTGTCACTTTTTTCTTTTTTGTCACACTTTTTTTATGAAATTTTTTCTTACTTGAAGAACAAGATATCAAAAATCCTACAATTCTCTTATTAATTTAATTTAATTATATTCCAATTTTAGACTTTGCTTGGAATATGTTAGAATTTTTTAAAGTAGTGTTTGAGTTAATAGATTTAAATTTAAATTTTAGATTTAATCTATTGCATTTTAAATCTCATCTTTAAAATTCTTATATTTAAAATATTTTTTTGGATAGTTTAAAAAATTTTAAATGAAAATTAAAAATTAAAAAAATTTATTTTTTAATTGATAATTAATGAGAAAAGGTACAAGAGTCGTATAGGTATTAAGAGTAAAAAAATATTTTTAAAGTGATTAAAATTGTAGATAATTAAAGTATAAAGAAAATTTAAAATTACAAATAAATTATAATTTGAAATAAAACTAAATCTAAATTCATAACTTTTTGTATATTTAAATAAAGGATTTAATTTAAATTAAAATTCAAATATAAATTTTCATTAATTCAAATATATCATGATTGAATTTTATCCTTTGTGTATGTAGTAACAACATCTAGAGAGCTCTACCGTTTATTCTCACCAGCTTGAGGAAGATAATTTCTAATTTTCTACTATTTGTAGAACATATTCCCTGTGCTTATCAAAAATAATATGTTAGAATCAATTTATTTACCTATGTCAATCTCTACCTTACTTTAAAAAAAAAAATTCTTATAAATACGGTTATATATGTACTCACATGCTCGGCGACACTAATTCACTTCTTACTTCTTTTCTTATCTATTCTATTTTTGAAACATTTTATAAGCTTTTTTTAATTTCTTATGAATGATTTTTTTAACCCAAGATTCAAATTTATTGATTATCCCTGAATAGTATGGGGCAAAAGATATTAGTTTTTTTCATTACACATACTATATTGGAGCATTATCAAACTTAAATGGGAGTAACTCTTTTAATAATATTTTTTTATATTCACAGAAATTCAGGCCCCAAATTTCGCATTTAAGTGGTCATAACCAATTTTATTAGGATTAACACTTTTTTGGTGGGGATTAGTTATAATTATTGATAGCTATATATATTTACTTATACTTTGATGGGATCAATTTTTCTCCAATAAAAAAATAACATTGGTGGTCAATATTTGAGGTTCCCACTTACATGGACTACAGAAAACAAATTGAAAAGAGTAAATTATCCTCAGTAAATAAATCATTACATGTGTTACTGTAAACAAAAAAAAAAGCCCTTTTCTATGGAAAAATGAGCCACATACCCACACAACCATACCAATGCTGGGAACCATATTATTAGTAAATCATAAAAAATACTTTTAAAGTAATACATGATTGTGATTGGCATGGAGTATTAGCAATTAGAGTTGAAAAATGAGCAAACTTTACCTATGTGGACTTAGGCTAAAAAACTCAGTTATTAATTAATTTTTCAAGCCCAACTCTTATTATTCAAGTTTAGGTCGGGCTTGAAAGCCACTTTTATTTACCTTAATTTTTTTTAATTTACTTTTTTGCATTATAATATTTTATATTCATTTTTTAAAGTATAAATTATAATGTTTAAAATTTAATAATTAATAATAAATCATGTAAATCTTAATTTTAAAGTACAAAGGCATATTCTAAAAATTAAATTTAATAAATGTAAATTTAAATTAATAATATGAGCCTGAGCTCATTTTTTTAAGACTTTAAAATCATTTTACATAAAAGTACTTTAATTTTCAAACTCCTAAGTCTTTAAAAAAAAAAAAGAACTTAAACAGCTAGCTCAATAAGGTTAGCCTTGTCAACAATGTCATGGCCAAGTTTTCAATTTCCTTTTTAATATTATATTTATAGATTTATAGATGTTATATATCTTTTACCCAAAAATCATGCAAACTTAATATTATATCGCTCAAATCTAGCCCTGGTGTCCTGACGAGGCAGCCACGCCGATCATGCTGCGCACATGGTGCGCATTAGACAATTTACGTTCCATCATGGGAGACGATGCAAGCTTCAGGTAAAAGCTAATGCCCCACTTGTAAGACACTCAAACAACACAACCAGTTTTGTCATACAAAAAAAAATACTCCCTCATTAAGAAATATAAAACATTTTAATTTAATATTATTTTTAATAAAATAATTATTTTTTAAACCAATTTTATTTTTTATATTTATCTTTATTTAATAAGATATTTTATCTTAAAATAAATATAAAATAATTTATTCGATAGAAAAATTTAAAAAAAAAAGAAGCAATGATTATATTTTAAAAAATTTAAAAATACCTTACATTTTTTAACACTCAATCTCTTAAAATATGCTTTATATTTTTTAATAAAAGGAGTATAATATTAGCCCTTAAAGCCTTATCAGTAGATCTCACTACTCTCTTGAATGTTGGAATATTTATTTATTGATTAACATTAATTAATAAGCCCAACAGATTAGTCTTTATGATCTTGTGTGAACTGTGATAGGTGGACCATACAAGTGAGCCCAATGGGCAGAGGCCTAACCCACAACCCAGTAGCTGTTTGTTATTCTCTGTCTCTTAACTGACTGAGTCAGAGATAAAAAATTTAATTATTTATTTTATTTAATAAGGTGATTACTAATCTGATCCTTATAAGTCGATCAGTCGATAACTGCGAATACACGACTCATTCGCTACTGCTCCATTATTTTTACACTCTCTGAAGATCCTGAGGACCTATGAGTTGTGCATTTGTCTACACTCAAGGTAATCGAGATTTCTCAAGCGCTCATGAATTTTTCAAATATGCATGTATTCTTTACTTATTCATATAAATTGAAATATACAAAATATAACATTTGTACCAGGTTTGCTAGAGATTTTGAGTTCAATTTTTGAAAATAATATGCTAGTGTTAGCACAACTTGGTGGTAAACTTCGTTCAGAGAGTCCCAATTTGAATTAATCTCAGCTTTGGTAAAATCTCTGGGTGTTACACGTAAAAAAATATTTATAAATTACTCGATGGCAGATTATTCATATTTAGAACAATATTTGAACATCTTCATAAAAGACACCAGCTTAGATTAAAAATTACAAGATGTTTAAATCTATGTATTTGCAGGATGTTTAAAATTATTATTTTAGTGAAATTATATACTCCCTCCATTCAAAAATATAAAATATTTTTTGAAGAGTTGGATGTTAAAAAATGTAAGATATTTTTAATCTTTAAAAGTATAATCATTGCCTCTTTTTTTTAAAATGTTCCTATTGATAATGACTTTATATTTATTGTAGGGTGTTTAATAAGAGTATATATAAAAAGATGAGATTAGTTTGAAAGTGGGTAATTACTTTATTATAGGGTAAGATGCAGTTAAAAATGTCTTACATTTTTAAACAGAGGGAGTAAAAAATACAAATTCATAGTAAAGTACAAATCAATAATAACATTGGTGTGTGTGTGTGTTCAATGAAAGGATATTACTATAGTACTCTTAAGCTTTTTTTAAAGGAATACTAGATATTATATACCATAAAATGGTGACAAAACTATGTAAAATATGACCAGTATGTGTAATACCCATCATTTTAACCCCCATAAAAATGATAGTTATTGGCTTTAACCATCATTTATATTTTTGGTAATTTAACATGTGCCTCAACAAGGTTGGTTTTATACTTTTACGTGTTGGAGTATTTAATGGTGATATATTCTTGGTATGTATGCCAATCAATTACCTGTCCTATGAGAGGGAGGACAATAAATGGCGACCTAATATATGATAGTTGAAAACCATTACTTATGGACAAAAATAATAGTTATTGTCCTCGCTCTTGGCATAGTGAATCTACCTATCCTTTTAAAATGCATGAGTCAAAAATTAATGTTTAAAGCCAATATGGTTTTTTTCTTTAACATATACATGTTCAATGCACGCACGAATCTAATCTAATATATTATTATTCATAAATAATACAAGACAATGATAAATGTTAGTATGTTATATAAAAAATGTTCTTATTATAGCACAATGAATAAATTTGCTTTTTTTATCCATATATGTGCAAGGGGTTGGTAAAAAAATCCATATATATCCAAGGAAGAATGTGTTTGAAAGAATTTAATATTAGATAAGGAATTGGAGGAACA